ATCCAGGCGACGAGGAGCTGCAGTATTGTTGCTTGAAACATTCAGAAAGACAAATAACAGATTGCGAAGAAAGTAGAGCTTAGGCTGACAAGTGTCAATGAAGAACTAATTAATGGGTGAGAGGAGGCAGGAGATAACAAAAAAGTAAAAAATTTGGTGTTGAGTAATCTTTTCTGGTATGCGCCATGCGCTGGACTTCCACTCAGAATCACAGCATTATTTGAATGTGTACTTGGCTCCTACATTGCCTTTCAGGGCAACGCCTCTGCACAAGTTGGTATTTTCATGCTCCCAGTTGATTTCAGTTTTTACAGTGAATACACTATAGCCAGGAGTTCGGGGAAGGCGTGGCTGCGCGCTTCATCTGAACATGGCGTCTTATGCTAGAGACGGGCACGATTGCAGCTCTCCGATATTCCAGCAAAAAGACAGCTGCCGCCACGTTCGAACAAAGTGCGCAGCCACACCCTCTCCATTTACGAGATATGGAGCCTAAATAGTTGTTGTGGAGTACGCCTAAAGAGGGTCGAATTCAATCGCTAGGAGGGGGTTTTATGGATTTTTTTAGAGAATTCTACCTACTGTTAATTTCTCCGTCGCTGTATACCCCCTCGCATCTCAAAGGCAAAATCTTGAGATAACCTGGTAATAGTTGGTAGAACGAGCAAGGCGGTTCTCACCAGACAAGGAATTAGGGGGGGGGGCAAGAAAAAATTCCATACAGTGATGGTGTGCCCTGTATGGGCCGCCGAAAATGAGCAATTCTCGCGAATGAAAAATGGGTTGCCCCGTCGTGAGCAAACATCGTGCGGTTCGCACGAACTTGTCCACTACTCTTACACTCCTGCGAAGGATTCCCACAGAAGAAGTGGTTGAAAAGAATGTTTGCGATGCGATGGGAAAAGAAGGCATATCAAAGTTTTCGACCCCAATTTTCCGACGAATGGGTTTAATTCTTAAGTGAGCTAGGGATTTATCCTATAGGCGCCTCCAGCGCGGGAAACACGCGTTTTCTTCAAGATTCGCCACAGCACCTGTAATGTGAACGCGGGGGGGGGTTTTCGCAAGAAACAAATGCTGTATTGGCGCTGTTCGGCTTGGAGGGGCATTTGGCACTTTCGCTAGTCCTTTTTTTAACTCCTGTCAACTAACAGGTGGTGCTTTGTTAAGGCCTGTAAACTCTTATGAAGCAGCTAAAAGGTGTGAGTGAGCTACTTTGGTCCCAGGAATTCACAGGTCTTCACTAGTCGACGTGTATAAGCTCAGCTGGGTACCGTTCGGTGCTCCCACCAAGCCGAACTGCGCCTGCTGCATTTGTATCCTAAACGGCACCTCTCTAGTGCCAAGTTTGTTAGCAATTCGTTTCCGAGAGCATGAATTTTTGAAAAAAAAAATTAGTGGCACTTCTTAAAAAAATGCGGCTTCACAGATGGGTAAAATATTCACTCGAAAAAGATATAAAAAAGGCATTGGAAAGTACCGAAAGTGAACGAGGCGAGAGAGGTAGGACTAATCCAGCTCGAACATGTTCATTCAAGAGACGAAAAGAAGAGCAGCCGCAACTAAAGCGATCGTTTGCTCAACGCTGGCGTGTTTCCGCCAATAGTCATCACTCGAAGGAAGATCAACGATGAAAACAACTTATCAAAGCATGGTTGCAGAGTTGTTAGCCAAACATGGGGCTATTTGTTGCGCTGATAAACTTCCTTTCAAAACTGATAATTACTTGTTTTCTGGGGTACAACGCGCACGCCTTCTGTAATAAGAACGCAGTTTCGCTTTCGATTGTTGAGTGCGTTTCGTGAAAATCTTTTTTTTGCATCTTTTCCTGTCGACATTTGCTCGCATACTTCTTGTTTGCAGCCTGGAGTTTTGCGGGCTTTTCAGGCTTTGGTGAGTTTGATTTTCGTTAACGATCAGCACCCATGCGCCAGTGCGGCTTATAACAGGAGCAAATAGAGGGGGCATTCCCGCGCACGGAAGATAAGGGGACTTTTTCTCTTTATTACTAAATCCGTCAACTTTCCGACCCTTTGAAGAGCGCCTTTCTTGAGTTGAAAGTGTTGACCACGGTAAAGCAGAGCGGCTTATGATGCAACGATGAAAATAAGCGGGGCAGTTCGGCGAGCCTTGCACCAAGCTTCTACAGAAGTTCCATGGGTTTCAGAGTGTGCGTTGGAGACCAGAACTAGTGAAGCAACAAAACTGCGTCTTCAGCGCTCAAATCGATCTGAAACATATTAATAATCTTGATCTCTTAAATTCAAGCTGCGGCGCGTGTAAAACAGTTGAACGCCAATCGCGTTTCTGCGGGAAAGCGCCGCGTGGGAACAATGGCGTGCTTTCGCATGCGTCCGCTTGAGCCACCGGTGGCTCATATTGTCCCTCGTGGACCACTTTTTTTGCCGCTATGTCAAATTTCGCAAAATGATAAGTCAACTCGTGTAGGGACTGCTATTCCAACCATTCTGGACTAGTGGATGCCATCTCATACTTCTGCCCCATCTGCGATCACGGCCCACTTTTTAGCGCTATCGTGGATTTTCCAAAATATATGGCCATAACTTCTGTGTTCATGAGTAATTTTCTTTGGATTTTTTTGCGGGGTGTTTCACGCACGATATACAATGAATCCATAGGCCGGCCCCTGACGGACACTTTCCGTATCAAATTCGGTGACAAAGAAGATCGTTAGCGCCGAAACTGGCGCACGCTGGCGAAAGGTTGTGCCAAACTGGAGGGCAAAGATATTCGTTACAAGGATGTCAAATAACCCAGCTATGAAGGTTTCTATAGCATTTGGTGCCAAAAAGACTACTAGCGCCGAAATGGCGCTTACTGGCGCCATATGGCGCCAGCGACAAATAAGATATCACGTTCAAGATCGAAGCTCCGCGCAGTCCCTGCAGCCAAGGTTCCGTCCAAAAAGAACTATTTTGGAAGTTTCTGCCGCAGCAGTAGCTAGTTGAAAATTTTCAATTTTTAATTCAAAATATCCCATGAAGGCAAGCAAACATTTCCTTGGGCTCTATCCCTGTTGGACATTTACCCTTTTCAACAGGTTGCCTCGAAAGCCAAAAAGATTCGAATGAGACCGCCGGCAATAGTCCGAAAAGTGATGTAGAATGTTATTAGCCACCGTGGCTGAAATTGTCCCACGTGGCCACTCACTTATGAGCCACCGGTGGCTGAACAACAGTCGCGTCAACGGTGTTAAAGGCACAGTTTGGCGACCGCAAATTGCGGGAAACGGAACTCAGAATAGGCACAAAAAAGTGCTAAGTATCTGATTAGCGGAGAAAAGCAGCAGAAAAAGCAGTCCGAAATGTTATAGAGAAAGATAACATAGTGGCTACTAGCTAGTAGCTAGCAGCCGGTGAGGGTCGGCATGGGCCTAAGGGTGTCCATGGGCCTAATTAGTCAGCTTCTAGCGGAGTTCTTGCCGTTTTTCACATTTTGAAAGTAGCGCAGCCTCAAAAATCGCCTTCCGGATCGTCCGACACATTTGAGAGGTCATAGCCTTATTTTATCGCGGAATGTGCCTTTAAGGACAAACGCCCGTCCCCTTGGCATGTTGTGGAGTGACAGTGGCAATTGCAAGCCTGTAAGTTTGGGCATTGGATCACCAGTGGATGAAAAAAGCAAAACTATCAACACTGGCTCCGAGTACAGCAGCCTGCCCCCTGGCAACCTTACTGTGGGCCAATTTCCCGGACTGTGCTTGTTTTACTTTCTATTTTATTTTATTTAATGTCAAAAGAGGTGTATCTGCCGTTCGCTGCTCAACTAATATTTCTTTCGCGTCATCAAATACTACTAACACCGTCTAATAAGGGCAAAAACGGTGTGGAGAAAATACTGTGTGAAACTGGCACTCGTGAGCAAAGAAGTAGGCCTCTGAGTTTCGTGAGCGGAATAACTATGGAGGCGTTAGACCTGCCACTTATGAGGGCTGCAGCACCTCCGACACAGAGGCCGTAGCATCGTTACTTACTGTGAAGCTCAGAAGAAGGGACAGTCTTACATTGGGGACTGCGGACCTTGCGGACCTGATTACTTGAACAAGGAAGGGAGGCCGCGACCACTTGGGATTGAGCCGGGCACTGGCCTTACAGTGTGGGCATATCTCCATTTGTAGAAGTTTTTCTTTCCGAGAACTGCAAGCCATGGCAGAGCCGAGATTTTCCGATGGGTTCGCAAAAGAAGTCCTGACGCTTGAATGACTCCGGAACTCCGAAAAGTTTCCGCACCGTTCACAACGGATGTTAAAGTAATGTGGCAACACAACGTATAAGTTTCTCTACAAAAAAAATTTCGCGAAACGCTTTCATCGTTGTGATGTTGAAGGCAAGATTTCTGGCGAAAAGCAGGGACCATCGTATTTCATCGATGTTTTTTTTTCTGGATACGCCTCGTCTCCTGCTTCCATTCAAAGTGCCACGGTAAATTTTGTCGTTTCAGGGACAGACTAATGAGCAATTAAGTGCTTTACCTCCAAGCTCAGCACTGATTTGCTGCGGATGGTCAGGTGGGATGGGTTTGGCGCGGCGCCAGCCCTTTTCATTCCTCTGTTTTTCCTTCTTCAAGCGACAAAACTGTATCGTATCGTTCGTGTCGGTCGTTTTCCATAAGTTGTTGTCGTCTACTCGCTTTAACAGCTGGTGGTGAACGAACTGGCGACGCGCCAAACCCAGTCTTACTGACACGTAGGCTCAGATAGGACAGCACGAGGGCCTCAGAGAGAACTTCTAAGGCGTTTTCATAGCCCAATTTCAGGCAAATGGTAAAACTGCGAAAAGAAAAGCGAAGAAATCGGTGTTCTACGAGAACAGGGATCACATATAGCCCACTCCGCAGCCTTGGAGGGGCGTGGCCAAGGAAACGATCTGAAAAACTGGTGAGCCCGTGAAGAAAAGAGAGTTTGAACCGGTGGATTTCTGTCAAACCCATTCCGTGGTTCTTCAACTTTTACCGAACGCTTGATAAACCGCTAGAAAACCATGCCATCGAGTGATGACCAGTAAGTGAATGCATCCATGAAGATACGGCCGTGATAGGGGAGGGTATAAAGGAAGTTCGTCATACCATTCCGCATCATATACTCGCTCATTTACTCGCTACTCGCTACATGGTAGGGTTCGCCCTTTGCGTATCTGGTTCCTACAGGACACTTCAGCTACACGTCTTTCTTACAGGTAGACATAAGAACTCTTCGGAAACCCCTAAGACAATGGGAATTAGACGAAGTTACCGCTTTTCTGCAAGGGATCATTACCGACGATGAAAGAGAACTTTTTGTACATAATGTAAGTTTTCTTGGTATACTTGGTCCACCGAAGCTGCAGAGCGACATCATAGAGCCTTTGACGTCCGGTATCAACTAGAATCCCTTGGAAGGCTGCAATATCTGGCTGGATCTGGGACACCCAGCGGGCGACAGGATCAGAACGCCTATGGTCTTTCTAGCCACTAGCAAGGATAAAAGCGTTGGTGTTTGCTATACTGAGGCCTTTTACTGTTCTCACCACTGGAGTCGGTCGAGGCCTTTCAGCAGGGCGTGGGTTTTGGCGCGACGCCAACTCATTTTCTACCATTCGTTGAACGCCAGGATACAGACCTAACCATAAGACACCGGACCGCTGACATGTACCCACTGACTCCACTGATAACGACATTATGTCAAACGCTTGTTCCATACGGGCGCGGCGTTTTCTCAGTTCGTCGGACCAGTTCCTTCTATCAGCAGCTGCAGCGTTCCCTTTCCCTAGAGCTTTCCAACCTTCAGATGTGGATGCGGGTGTACCAAATGGGGTCTTATATAGTTGATATCACGGCAATCATCGGGGGTGTGATTCGAGACTGTTGCGAATGAGCCCGCCTCCTTGCTTGCATTCTGTACCAATAGTGAGAGAACCAGTGGTACAATACGCCGTGGGCGGGTTCATTCCATGCCTCTCAACACCGCCCCGACTGATTGTGGCGATATCAACTGCACGATGTCAGGCCGTTTTCTCCTATCACTCCTCTACTCACACTCTCGAAGCATTTCGAGACTAGCAGAAAGGCAACTAGACACGCTGACATACTGACAGACCGATGGGCACACAGAATCACAGACCAACAAACTGACAATCACGTAATTCGATAACCAGAGCCACTGCAATACACAATGACTTCTATCTAAGAATAGCCATTTCAGAACCTGACCGGCAGTCGGCTGAAAGACTTTTGCTGCATGGATTTTCTAGTACACGTGCTTCGAATAAGCGAATCCAGTGCCGCCAAGGTGATACGATTTTTCCAAGGCCGCGTTCATAAGCAGCGCCGGGGTAGAGAATCCAAGAAGAGGGTAATTTGCGAATCCGCGGACTACATTCTAATGCCTGGACTCTCATCCACCACGCCGCACAGCACGCCGACTCCCCAGTTGGGTGAAGCCACTAGTCAATACGTATCTAATCTTTTTCGATTCCTTAAAGCTCTGACTATGAACGCGGCCCACGTGTAGCTGCCCGTCTCTTCACAATAAACTGTTGTCAGGTCTTGCCCACACTTAAGAATACATTGCCAATACATGTATGCAGAAGACAGACATCGGTTAGGGCGCTAACTTACCGGGGGTGGGGAGGGAGCAGATTAACGCTCGCCAGCGTCTGGTCTGCGTTTCCTCTAATCTAGGCTTAGGCTTAGTGAAGGATGTCTCCTCTACGGGATGTCTCCTTCACGAGATGTTCCCTCTGAGGGACTATCTCTCGCCCTGCACTAACTTGAGCCACCACCTTCGTTGTCCAAAGGAGCACCACGGAGGCGCTGCACACGAATTATCCTCTCACAGAGCGGAGACATCTGGAAGAGTAACGAAGGAAAAACAAGGACAAAGGCAGTTTGGCAAGACGCTGTACAAGGCGCGACTCCGCCTGACACCCTCTTCATCGAGATACTGCTCCATGATGCGTTTCCGAAGGTGGTTCTCGCGCATATTTCAAGTAAGAAGTGATCAATTGCTAGGTGCGGAAAGCCACTGGATGTATACTACCCAAAGGGCTCTGAAAAGACATTGCAATGAGCCCCGCACCACCCCCGTTGAGGCTTAGCCCACGACGCCAGAAACCTTTCTGGGCGAAGTCATTCGCCAAAGCTGTTTCGTTATATGCTCAAAGAAATGAAAAAAAGAAAACCTACGACGTTTCAAGCCAGCGCGCGGGAACGCCTTCATGCTGCTCAGCTGAGAGGACGCAGACAGCAAACAAACATGAAGTGTGGCCCTGAACCGAAAAAAATCCAGGGACAGAAAAGACAAGTTTCAGAAGACTGTGGCATGTCAAAAGTAAATTAATAACGTAGTGAGCATCTGCACCATCACGATAGCTCACCCCTCGCCGCTGCCCGCTCTCCCTTCCCCATAACGCTTGCGTGAAGGGCGTTGGCGAGTTTTTCCCGGAAAATAGCAAATATGAAGTGCCTCACTGTGCGTGCGGCACTCTCACTCGTCACGACGGCTGTTCACGACCATCGACGCAGCCGGACCGGGCTCAGCGGCTGTGCTCCCCCCCCCAAGCAAATGCTGACCATATTTCTATAGACACCATCTCAACCTGAATTCTTCAACGTAAACTGGATTTGCGTTTTTAGGTGACGAGCGTACTACGGCCATATCTGGACGAAATGGAGGATACTCACTGCATTACTAGACGTGAATACCGTTTCCTACCACGGAGACGACACAAAAACTCGACGCTTCTTAAAAACAGGAAAACCCGAGTGATATCGGTTGAAGATCCGAGCCATAACGACGCATAACAGGAAAAGAAAGGAGAACAAGAACGAGGAAAAGGATGTTAGGGATACTGATTGATCAGGAAATTGCATTCCAGCTCCGGTGGATGAATCCGCGACATCATGGATCTATCCTGAGTTGAAGACAGCATTCGATTCCTGAGCAGCAGTATCACCGTGTAAGCTCGCCTATAGTCTGCGTTGCGATCAAAAACGATAGTTGACTTTGCTTCTAAGAACAGCGTCCCGTTTACGGTCTAGTAAACATAAACATGACCCCTATTAATGAACTAATATTACTGTGAGTACGAAATAAAGCACTGATAGTTACTGGGTTTGATGAAATCACCACAGACTTTGCCTGGCCATCAAACGACCGATGGCCATCCAGACAGACAGTCATGAAAGGGACTTCATTCCACGCGCAATTAAATCCTGCGGGAGAACATCACATGATGCATTAGTTTTTTCACGAAGGATTTATGGCTTAGCGCAGTGTAACGAGAACTGAACGCTATGTGATCCAAAATTATGTGAGGAGGGGAGGGGGGGGTAGGGGTCAATAGTGATTATATTGAAAGTTGACCGCTTCAGGAATCACGACTTTCAATTTATTCATCCCTCAGTTCTGTAATGTTACCCTACGTGCGTTCTCGAAATATTCCCAGATTCTCTCAAAAGGTCCCAACCAGAGTGTCTAGATAAGGTTTTGAAGTAATTGTGGATCGTTCGTCCATGTTTCTACAACGGCTTTTTCCGCGCGATTCCACTTGGTGGGGGCGCTAAATGGTACTTATCAAAGCGTGTACAAGCCACCTCGTGAAGACCCTCGAATGCCTGTGAACCAAAGTTGCTCGTTTGTAGCACTCCGCGGCTTCACCAGCTTATAGGTTTTACCAAAGTGAGGCCTGTTAGTTAACATGAATTAGTACCAGGAACTAGCAAAAGTGCGAAATGCCACACCCCCTCCCCCTGAGCCAAACAGCACCACTGTCGGTCCCGAAGTTTAAAAAACTTCACACAAGCAACATCAAATGGCCACAAAAAACGGACCGATGCGCAGCGTGGCGCCTATAGCGCTGCGTATCGGTTTCTCTGGCGAATTGTGGGTATCTATACTCGAAAATCC